ATAGCTATAGGAATCCATATAGTAGTTAAATACATGCGCATAAAAGATGCCGACACGAAAATAACGGTGGTTTATTTCAATCTTGATTGTTCCTGTATTGAANAGAAACTCATATGCTGAAGTTGTTGTGCGTCAGCCGTGTAGCTCACTGGTTAGAATCTAAACTGGAAATCCCGAAAGTTAGCAATTCAACTCTCGAGCGGGTTATGCAATTGACAAGCATATGTGATTGGGCGGTGGTGACCCGGTGGTAACGTCACCAATTATCTCCTCGGAGGACGTGTATTCGAATCCCATCACCACTGCATGTTTTTCTCCATTACTGTGTTGAATAGCAGCTATTTCATTGGCCGCTTTTCCCTTCCTGAAAATTGTATCTTCGTGTGCTCAATAAAAGAAAGTAAAAACGAAAATGAAAAACTAAAAGTGATGAGCGTAACTAGGCACATAGCCGCTGTTTAGCCCACATACTTGGTCGCATTCACAGGTAAGGAATTATTGTCATCCTGAGGAACGAGACCCACACAAACGATACAGTGATGCACAGCCGCTGATGCGTTTGAAATAACGTGGACTGGACTCTGTTTGACACGGATTTTTCATTGGCAAAAAGGAAGAAATCATGAAACCATTTCTCCTTAACAATAGATGACCCTGGAAACTGTGGGTTAACGATTAGAATCGAGTTAATACTAAAGAGGACTTTCCTTGAATTTCGTTTTGATGAAACTATCTCCGACTAACATAGGTCACTGTTTCAGATCGGCCATAAAAAGTACTTGTATAAACATTGGTTCGATTGCCTAGAACAGAAATAACCAAAGGTTCAATGCCACTTCAGTGACAAAAATGTTACCACATCTGAATATATCCCCGAGTGTTTATTTGTATTTGGCCTGACACTCAAATTGGCCATCTGACGGAAGGCATATCAAAACGGATCATTCGATCAACGGTTTAGTCAGTATCGATGCATCAAAAAACCAACAATCAGTGTCTTTTTATTGCAAATCATTGGACCGTCAGGTTAACTTAATGCGCGCATTCAAAGTAATGTACCGCATTTGTATTCCAATGTTGAGTTAAAGCAAAACTATTTTAGTCATGATAGGTAACCTTTACGTACGTGCGAAAATTCCGTTAAATCATAACTTTAATCTGCATTGTCTGCAAGCTGATGAGTCCTCCGTATCCCCATAATCAATTGCCGTTTTGTTTGAAGAACCAATGACCCTGATTCTAATTATATTCATAAACTCCGCGCGCGCCCTTCGATTGGCTGCGCTACACTTGCACGCTCTCCGTCACATTGTGGGAA